GACAATAAAAAGGCACACATTGTCCATCCAAATTACACAAAAAGAGGAAACCACAGACGCCTAGCAGTACACACATCACGAGAATTGAGTTAGCTGCTATTTGCAATTGTTCAATTTAATAATAATTGAATAATTTGATAATTGAATAATTGTTCATTTATGATACACTTTGTTAGTAGCTTGTACCTGCTTGTAGCTTGTACCTGTATCTTTCAGGACTCATCCTTTGTAACCTTGTAACCCGAAAACACAATGCGTAATTTAAAATATACAGGTAAAAAAAACATTACGGAAAATTCTTTCATGTTAACAGTAGATTGTGCCTTATTTTTACAGACTTTTCTTAAGAGTGTAGCATACTAACTAACTACTAATACACTGCTTAAAGCATAATTATTGAGAATGTGTGTTTACTAGCTACTAAAAAAACTTAAATTGTAATCATTTAAAAATGTGTAAGTTTTCAATAATTCAATGTATTTAAAAATACAGTTATGTATATTTTAATATTATATCATGCATATTATTTTAAAAACAAATCTAAATTAACATATATAAAATATATTTTTTGCTGAGGTTTGATGATGTGACAATTTTGCGTCGTGATTACGCAATGACGTCATTGAGCAATGACATCACAACGTCATTTAGCAACTTTTAGCAACAAATCGACCTTCCTTTAGCAACTCTCTCTGAAAACTAGTTGGCAACACTGGCTGTCACTCTAAAGGACCCCCTTGCCACAGTTCACCTCTGCAGCAGAGTACATCAGTGTCAGACAGGCTCTGCTAAGTTTTATAGTTTTAGAATATTTTAAATCCTAATGTTAATATTTCCTTTGTCACAGCCATGATATGTCAACACCATCTTCCAATTTCTGAGGAAATTATTTGAAATATTTAGATCATTTTATTCTCCTGAAGCAGGTTCCATTAGCATCTAGCATCAACAGAAAAAAAATAAAATGGCTACCACATGAAATGACAAATTTGTCAACACCGTCAGATGTCACCACCGTAAGATTTGATGTGTCAACTCCGTCAGTTGAATATTTTGATAATATTTCATTGATGATATTTTATATTTGTTATGGAATTGTCGGTCACGTGTGAAAGTGTAATCTGTCTGCTAACACGAGAATGTGTTTTGAAATGTTAAAAACGTCTTGAATGCTGTTAAAGATAAAGTTGAAATTATATTACACAGTCCAAGGTAAAAAAAAAATCACATTTTGTTAAAAAAGAGAAAAGTTGGGAGGTTGTATCAAAGCATTGCTCAGTAGCTTAGTACATATAAGATACATAAATGTAGTTTCATTTGTCTGAGTACAAGGTTTTATTTTTTCAATTTTGCACCCTGTTTTGTCCCACTTCTCAAGTATGACTGTATGACAGCTGTTTTTGGCAACAGTATGGCTTTAATTCAAGTGTTATAATAGTTTACAGTGTTGGTTAGTTATCATTTAGTAATCACAAAACAATGTCTTTAACCATAGAATGACTTTTTCTCATTAGAAAAAAAATGTCTGGGCTGATGGGATCCCCTGATAAGTTTCTGCCATCTGAGTGGAAACATGCAAACCAGGTGCATTTCAGGAGCTCGGAGGCAGAACGATCACTCTCACAGAGACTGACAGCAGAGTGTCAAAGACTGGTAGAGGAGAGTGACAAATCTACCAAACACATGCAACAGGATGCACAAAAGAAGCTGGGTATGCAATACAGCAAACACATGTGACAGGATGCAAAGAAGGTTATTGGCCTTGCATTAGAGGTGCAGGAAGACAGGAAGTTCAAGATGATACTTGTCCTTTCAAAGATACAGTGGGTACGGAAAGTAATGGAGAGGCTCTGCAAGGAGGAATGGCAGAGGATCCCTAAATCCAGGTGTGAAAAACTTGTTGCCTCTTTCCCAAAAAGACTCATGGCTGTATTCGATCAAAAGGGTGCTTCTACTAAATACTGAGCAAAGGGTCTGAATACTTAGGACCATGTGATATTTCAGTTTTTCTTTTTTAATAAATCTGCAAAAATGTCAACAATTCTGTGTTTTTCTGTCAATATGGGGTGCTGTGTGTACATTAATGAGGAAAAAAAATAACTTAAATGATTTTAGCAAATGGCTGCAATATAACAAAGAGTGAACAATTTAAGGGGGTCTGAATACTTTCCGTACCCACTGTAAGTGATAGAAATGATGAGCAGAGGAAGTTATTTTAGATATTTCCTTAATAATGTGTAAACAATTCTGGCCTACGTATTTTCCCATGAGTCTTGCATCTCCTCTTCAGAGCAGAGAATCCAGGACATCAAATTCTGGAGGCAGGAACTGGACCAGAAGTTTGAGGAGATGGTGCAGGAGATTGAGACCCTCATCATTTTTAAGAGCCGTGTGGAAAGAGCCTTAGAAAGCTGCTCTGAGCCTTTCCAAGTGACTTTGCAATGTCTGACTGTGAGGTACTTCTCACTGTAGAGCACCACTAGTAGAAGACAATCCTAAAATCAAGAGTTTTACTTGACCTACACAACCAAATTGATCAAAAGTAACCGCAAAGACTTTTACATTTCAAATAAATGCCATCCTTTTGAACTTTGTCTGTGTCACAGACAAAAGCGGGTGGCGATTGACCTTGTGCATGATGAGGTGGAAGAGGAGCTGTTGAAGGAGAAGGAGGTGATTGAAGGAGTGATGGTCCTGCTTCAGCGAACACTGGAGCAGATCAATGAACAGATCAGGTCGGTGGGACAGTGACAAGACTCATTTGGGAATCAAGAGACTAACTTAAGGGGGTCAAAGCATAAAGAATCAAATTGTTCTTGATGTTTCATGTGGAAGCATCTGTCAAAGCTGTAATAAATAAATATTAATTAAATAAATTATGATGGTAATAAAAAATCTATAATAAACAATCATTTAATAAAACAATAAAATCAAAATAAAATAATAATGACTTTGATGAGAAACTGAAAAGTGTTTAAAATATGGCACTAAACCCTTGCATTATTGGTATATTGTGTTATTTAATAAAAATGCTAGTTATATACACATTAATTTGATTAAAAAGGAATTTTACTTTGCACATATTTCATGTGTTTTTCAGGCTCATTCGTTCAGTGAAATACTATCTGGAAAAGGACCTGCAGGACAAATTTCAGGCTGAGCACATTGATGATTTCTGTGCCCTTCTCACTAATGCGTCGCCTGATTTAAACAAAGGGAATTCAGATTTTAGCAGTGTTGGGTAAGAAAAGTGTCTATGATACTATTTAGATGTTAAGAGAAGGTTTTCCATCTTTTTGTTCTGTATATATATATATATATATATATATATATATATATATAAACATTTTCTTTTACTATTTCCAGAACTGCAGTGACTCTTGTGGAGAGCCCAAACAACGTAACAGCCCCCAAAGAAAAACACACTGCTCCAGTCAGGCATAGGCTGGACTAGCTCGTTCGTTGCAATATGGCTAGTAACTAGGGCTGGACAATAATTCAATATCAATATATATGGCAATATAATTTTTTTCAATAACGGTGATATGATTTTTAAACACATTTCTGATATTTCGATATACATTACCAGTGTTTCTAAAAAATGCTGGATTAAATACAACCCAGCGCTGGGTAAATTATGGACAAACCCAGCAATTGGGTTGCTTTGACCCAGCGGTTGGGTTACTGCCCAGAAGGTTGGGTTAAACATTTAACCCAACTGTTGGTTGAAAACAACCCAATCGCTGGGTTTGTCCATATTTAACCCAGCATTTTTTAGAGTGTACATTGATTTATTTGTGGCGTTTGACTTCGTTGAATAAACATGAGCACTGCACATTTCAAAATCAAAACGCAGTGCGGGTGTTTTATATGAATGTATCTTTGAAGAGAACCAACTGTCTTCAGAAAAGTTTCGATGGTATTTTCATTTTATCTGATAAAGTGGGTTGTATTTAACCCAGCATTTTTTAGAGTGTAGCGTTCATGAGCTCCAAAAGCTCCTCCTGCTGGCAGAGAATGAGCCCGTCTCCAGAAACATGTTTTTGTTATTCACTTTTTGTTTTCTGCAGCTCTTTTCATATTCTTTATCCTGGCTGAAGCACTTTTGTTTCAATCTATAAGAATAATCAGCCTATGTTATAGTTTAAAGTTAAATATATTAATATTATTAAAGTGAGCCTAAGAATCTTACATTTATTTGACAGTGATTTCACATTTTTTGTTTGAATGAAGGCTAAATACAATTAAAAGGTGAGCATTAATTTATTTGTGCAGTTTTTTTTAAATTTTTTATATTATATAGTTTTATAGGAGGAGGTTTCATAGACTTGGCAAATTCATTTGTTCAGAAGTTTGTAGGTACAGACATCTGTTGTGGGGATTTTTGGGAGTTTTTCTGAGGCTTTTTTTTTTTTTTATATTGTTCCTATCGATATCGGAATTATGGAACTGGACGAAAACAAGGAGATACACACACTCTACAAACTATCCCCGCAGCATTTAGGCAGGCATTTCCAACTGATTCAAACAGGGCAAAACAAATCACCGTAACAAATCATCATATAAAATTTGTAAAAATCAAAGAAATTTTCTCTGGCATTTCTTTCTTTTTGCTGTATCGAAAACTTAACGAACCGTGACACCACTGTGTCGTATCAAACCAAATCGTAAATTTTGTGAACCGTTACACCCCTTATATATATATATATACAGGTGCATCTCAATAAATTAGAATGTCGTGGAAAAGTTAATTTATTTCAGTAATTTAACTCAAATTGTGAAACGTGTATTAAATAAATTCAATGCACACAGACTGAAGTAGTTTAAGTCTTTGGTTCTTTTAATTGTGATGATTTTGGCTCACATTTAACAAAAACCCATCAGTGAACTACGGCTCTGTGTAGTAAATGCTGCTCCATCTGAAAGCATGTGAAAATACCACATTTAATAACATATTTTTACTCCAAACTCACTTCATAATGTCAGTCGAGTGTTTGAAATTAATCCTTCTGTGAGAGGATGTGGCTTCTTACACAGAATAAGGCACGCAACATATTTCATAGTATTTAAGCAGTGATAAAGGCATTGCATTATAAATATACTTTATTTTAATGAAAATTATAATAATAAGAACTCAGATAAACCGTATATTGCCGTAGTTGTGTGTTTATTAGTCACGTTGAATCAATGAAAGCAGTTGAATCTTCTGTTTATTCAGCTGCAGCGATAGGCATTTTCTGGGTTTCTTCTGCGAGCCGTATTTGGAGTTTCCTCGCGAGAGCGCCCTCTGGCCTTTGGATAGAGATTTACTGCTGATCACAGAACTGTGCTTCACTGAAAGATATGCATGATAATCGCAGCTTCTGTCGAATCGCGATCTCGATTCCATTTCGATTTATCGTGCAGCCCTACCCACAAGTATAGTAAACCCAAGGAAAGTGAAAACCTGAAAGTGTAACAATGCAAACAGGTTTCCTGTAAAGAGCAGGTTTAGGGTTAAGGTTGGGTTAGGGATAGAAAATATTGTTTGGTCAGTATAAAAGTAATAGCAGTCTATGGAAAGTCCCCACAATTCACAGAAAAAAACATGCGTGTGTGTGTGTGTGTGTGTGTGAGTGAATCTCCAAAAAAACATGTTCCCGTCTATGTCTCTGCACTAGGCTGACCGAGGCACTTAAACTGTCAGAGATGGAACTGAAAGCTCTAGCAAGACGCCAGTTGAGCCTAGAGGAGGAGATCCAGGTCAAGACCAACTCCCTGTACATAGACGAGGTGATCTGCCATCAGCTACGTCAGCCTGTGGTTATTCACAATTTCTGAACAGGGCTCATGTATGGCGGAAAGGCCTAGTATATTTTATTGTGTTTTGGAAAAAGAGTTTCCTTTGAATAATTTTATGTTTTTTTGATGGTTTCAATACTGTTTCTTTAAGATTTCTACTGGGATGTTTCCTCTTCCATTTGGTTTGGTTTGGTTTGTTGCACCATTGAAAGACTGTTTGATAAAATGTCTTTAAAAATGCTAAATAAAAAAATATATTAAAAAACTATGCTCCCAAGTTACTTGATTCTAGTCTTAAAACATGAATGGATGATTTATAATAAATAAAACAAAAATGTAATTATCATACTTCATAATACAAAAATTAGGTATTGTTATATTGAATGTTATTCGTTTTTTGGAAAATTATTTCGGTGCTAACAATATTTATTTCTGTATTAGTCTAGTTTTACTATTAATGATGGGAGGCGTATCAAGTACACATATCTCTATAGTAATGATAAGCCATTTCTGAAACATGAGGAAATCAGTCCGATCAAGTAAAAAGCACCAAACGGATTGCAAGAAAAACTGCTGTCACATCAGGTCTTTTGAGCTCTTCAAATTTTGAGGTAACCAACCATTTTAACAATTCTGAAAATAAAGGTGTAGTTGTTGAGTTTTTTTTTTTTATTACTAATAATGTCAAATAAGAATGGCGCCTCACTTTATGTGTGTATTTTTATTATTGACAGTTGTGCTACAGTATAAATGGGCATGATTTCGTTCTCATTACATTAGTCAGAGATGCTACAATCATTGCTGTTCATCTTGACTGCCGTTCAAATGACAGACTGATTTGGTGAGTTTTCATTTCTGTATTTTAACTTATCAAGTGCCTTATCTTCTATGACATTTACGGTTATTTATTACTTATTTTGTTTTTCCAAGTTAAGAAATATTACTAGGTGTAATAAGTGAAAACAAAATAATAATGTAAAAGGAATATTTTCCCTTTGATTTGAGTCATTGGTATTATGAAACTTAGAAAATACGGTTGTAGAAAAATATTGCCAAGTTCAAGGTTCAGACCAAGAAGAGGTTACAGTTTAGTGAATAAAATTGAATATAACTACAATATTTTGATTCATTTCACACCCTGATGATCTGACTGATATCTATTCCATCAAAGTAGAAAACAGCGTCACTGGAGAGGCCGGTTTATGCATCAGAGTGTTCTGTGTTTGCACTATCCCTAAAAGTGTCTCAGATCCCATTAGGAGAACCTGGTTCAAAGGAGATCCACAAAACCCATCTGTTGAAGTTCCTCATTCTTCCAGAAATATTGTATTTCCTCACAATGAGAAAGAGTGCAGCTTTCTGCTAAAAACTTGGTTCAGGGCAAATCTGATGGTGAATACAGATTAATGTAGGATTTGGTTTGTTAGGATAGGACAATATTTGGCCGAGATACAGCTATTTGAAAATCTGGAATCTGAGGGTGCAAAAAAATCTAAATATTGAGAAAATCGCCCTTAAAGTTGTCCAAATGAAGTTCTTAGCAATGCATATTACTAATCAAAAATTACGTTTTGATATATTTATGGTAGGAAATTTACAAAATATCTTCACGGAACATGATCTTGACTTTACTTAATTTTCTAATGATTTTTGGCATAAAAGAAAAATCAATCATTTTGACCCTACTCAAAAATGTTGGTTTTAATATCCCATTTGCTTTATGTCATATCATAGTAGACACAGGAATATATTAGCTGAGCTCCCACACATTTCTTTAGATAATTATGGGCCATTATTCATAGAAAAATAAGATATGTCCACCCTGTCGTGGATATATTAAATTTGTTTTCATTGCAAAATGAAGATGCAAATTATATTTTCTGAAAGGTATGATGGCCCTTTCCTAAACAGGGTTATTAAAAAATAGATATAATAATAATAAATAATAATATAATTACATCCTCAATCACATTGATGTACCCCCCCCCCTCCCCCCTTAGCAATATTAACAACAAATGAATGCTATGTCCACCCTGTCCTGTTTATGTCCACTCTATCAAGTCTAATCGGCCGACAGGGTGGTCATTTTGAGCTTCAATTAGCATATTAGCTTACAACAAACTGTGACTAGCTAAATATTTAGTCTGGTTGTTGAAGAGAATTTGGTATATTTAAACGTACATATTTTGAAAATACTGTATTCTAATCACTTCTGGCATATTTTATGCCGATAGGGTGGACATGTTAAGCTTTGGCAACGCAAGTAAGCAAACCAACTTATTCACCTCAGCCGTTGAAATTCCCGCCACTGAAGTGACAAAAAATCTGTTGTCCTGATGTCACTAAAGTGGATGGCCTTTTCTTAAAGGGGCGGATTCCCCAATAGGACAGGGTGGACAACCATTCAAAGGACATGGACAAACTCTTCTTTTTTATTAAATAAAAATATCGTTTTTATTACCAAATGATCAAAACACTCAAATTGAGTAATCTCTTATTTAACAAAATATTAATAGGAGAACTTCTAAAGAGCCAAGTAATGTTTTTGTTATGAATATAAAAACTTAGCCTAATATAACACACCCTTTCATAGTCATTTTTATGTTGAGTTATCATGGCAAATGAGCTATTTATGTACAGGACACCAAAAGGCACCCTACAGTGATATTGACCCAACCAGTGCCACACCTGTAGCGAATAGATGCGTTTTTGTAAGACAGATATCCATATTTAAAACATTAGAAAGCATCCATAGAAACTTCCATAGAAAGCATGGGAGTTTCTCTAACTTCCACTAACTGTCTTACGCGCAAGCAGTTCTGGACGGATGACGTAAGATGTATGCATAGCACATGTGCCGGTGAGAAGTGACGGAGGAGAGCCAAACAAAACACCGGTCACGAATTAGAAGTACAAAACGAGGATTTGTAAAGAAAAATGTCAGATGCTTTCGATATAAGCCAAGAGGAGTCTGGTTTTCCTTTGCTAAAGTAAGGAAACTTTGCTTCCTTTGCTCCTGTAAACAAACATTGGTTCTCGCGAGACTAGCATATACGTCATCCACCTGGAATGGCTTGCGTGTGCGACAGTTAGCAGAATTTAGAAAAAACAGTTTCTAACGTTTTAATTATGGATACATTTCTTACAAAAACGCATCTATTTGCTACAGGAGGACTTTATTCACCCCCCGGAGCAGCGTGGCATTGTTTAGTATGGATGGATGCACTTTATTGGACTGTTAAATGAAAACACCCACCCACTGCCATTACAAAGTTTGGAAATTCGTAAACTCAAGAAACAGTTGTTGGCTGGCCGTTTCTATAGTTCAAATGTTTGTTAGTTAGCAATTCCACACATTTTACCATTACCATTTTGACAGGAGAGAAAAATATATGAAACCAAAAGATGTCGACCATGTCTACATGACTGCAATGAAGAGAGAGGAATCTGTGTACGAGACTATCAAAATGTCGTGAGAAAGGTCTTAGTGATTTGATCAACACATTAGCCTACAGTTTCTTATTACCTATCTTTTGGTCTCTATTTTTTGCTCATGTTACCAACAATAAAAAAACAAAAACATAATTCTCCCATCATTCTCTCCTCGTGATGTCCCAGATGTATATGACTCTAAAGATGAACACAAAAATCATAATTAATTCTCTCATCATTTTCTCACCCTCATGACTTCCCAGATGTAGGCTACTGTATGGCTTTCTTCAGTTGAACACGAACAGTCAATATCACCATAGAGTGCCTTTTAACCCTCACAATACTCAAAAATGTTGGTTTTAATATCCCATTTGCTTTATGTCATATCATAGTAGACACAGGAATCCCACTGCCATTACAAAGTTTGGAAGAGTCGGGACAATTTTTTAACATAACTTCGATTGAATTCGTCTGAAAAAAGAAAGTCATATAGACAGACCTATGAGGCCCTGAGGGTGAGTAAATCATGGGCTAATTTTCATTTTTGGTTGAACTAACCCTTTAACTTTGAGGGATCTGTAAACTTGCATTATAATGCACACGGATTATTTTTATGAAAATATGTTTTTTCTTTATTCCAATAAATCTTCTGGAAAAGCAGTTTCTCCAAGAACATGTACAAATAAAGCAAATTAACCTCGTTATCATTTTGTTTACTTTATTTGTTGTTTCACTTTTAAAGAAGACTGGCGTCATTTGAGGCTGGAGACTTTTATTAAACAAAAAGAAAGCAAGCAAAGAACATCATGTAAATTATTATTTAAATAACGACTGGAGGTTTTCTGTTCTGCATTATTATGTCAATAAGGAAACAACATTACTTTGTTCATTATTATTGCCATCACACAGTCAGATACATACAAATATTCTTTACAACACTCAAAGTGAAAAATTAGGTTTGACCTACAAATGGGCCCCCGAATCTGTTTGCTTACTAATAAATATCTGTGTATATATCTTCAAACATGGACTGTCTGTGTTACTAATTGCACATATAATGTCATTTTGTGTGTGACTTCCTGCAAAATATACACCATTGTTGCACAATGTATGTATGTTCTTGTTGTGTGGTCAAAGGTTCACAACACAGAACTATATATCATGCAGAGTATTTACATATGTTGGTATCCTACCAAGGTGCCTTGAATGCTTTATAAATGTAAGATGCAATTAATTAAAAATCATAATGACTCATTAATCTGTTAGTCAAATTGCATTTCAAGGGCTAATCGCATATACTGACCATCTAACAAACATCTATCGACACAACCTTACCAGAGGATTACATAATTACATAAAAAAATTACATTTATTCCAAGCACCTTAGGTAAAATGATACCCTCCTATATGTTCCAAACGGTGGTTATTTCTTATTCGGTTTCAAAGGATGAGCTACAACAATCCATTATTTAATACGACTTTCTGTTTATATCAAATCAGCTAAAACATATTGGATTGCAGTGTGTACCGGGGCAGGGATGACCATCAGGCATTATCATATACTACATCCTATCAGATTGGCTGAATTATTATCAGGGTGATTTTGCTCCTCAATGTATTTGGAACATATTTAAAACAAATATATGTCTGAATAAAAGGGTACAAAGTAGTTGGGACAAACAAAATCCAGCAACCATTCAATAAACCAGTTTTGAATCCAGTTACTGGCCTGTTTTCATTTACAAATACAAATAAATGAAGATGGAGTATAAATTAAAAATAAAAAACAGTCTCAATTTAAAGGAACAGCTCACCCAAAAATGAACATTTTGTCATTATTTACTCACCCTCATGTTGTTCCAAACCTGTATGAGCTACTTTCTTCTGCTGAACATAAAAAAAAGATATTTTAGTTGACGGTAGCCACTGACTTCCATAATGTTTTTTTTTCTGTGCTATGAAAGTCAATGGCTGTTTACCAACATTGTTCAAAATATCATCTTTTATGTTCCACAGAAGAAAGAAAACCATACAGGTTTGGAACTACAGGGTGAGTAAATGATAACAAAATTTTTCTTTTTTGGTGAACTGTCTCTTTAAGCCATAAGGATGTCACCCAAAACTGAAAATTGTGTTATTTACTCACCTTCATTTTCTTCCAATCCCATAAGGAACAAATCAACACTAAAAGAACAAAAACATAACAGCACCACAAAAGTAGTCTGTACGACTCAATATTTAAAATTTTATGTTTGGAATAAAATAAAATAAAAAACTGCATCACATTCAGATGTTTTGCCATCACTGATGTCAACGATGGCTTTAGGACTCTTGGAATATAGAACACAAGGTTTATATTGAATAGTCAAAAAAGTGGTACTTTTATTATGTTTTTGGTCTTTTTTTATACTTAACAGATGTGGTCACTATGAACTATTGTTGTAATAAAAGAACTAAATGAAGATTCTTGCGACATGCAGTTGGAACAAAATGAGGGTTAGTTCACTGAATTTTCATTTTTTGGGTGAACTTTTCCTTTAACAATCACTTCTGGGTATGTGCTAAAAGTATCAGCGGATGAATATTGAAATATGCATGTAGACTGGTACACTCAGAAAAAGACTGAAACAACCGCTGTATTTAAGAGAGTGTTAGTCCTCCCAGACAAACCCAGAGTTGGGATAGTGCTTATACATAATGTCGAGGCACACATAACACCTCGCTCCCTGATGCTTCGACTTACAGCGGACACAGTGAGAAGGACCACTAGTGACTGAGACTCACCTGCAAACCATACCATTTCCCGTAAGCTTGCTTCAAACTATAAGCTCTACTGTAACACTTGGGGAAAAAACCCTTCCTTTTGGAAAGTGCTGTCTTTTAAACCAGGAGATTACTAAAACCTCTCATATCTGATTGAGAGACAAAATATCTGGTATGGTTACAGTCAAGAATGGGTATAAATAACCAAAAACATAGATAAATATATAAAGAAACTCTATTGTACAGTATATTTTACTGATATGGGAACATATCATTCCCAGAACCTTGGAGACGTAAGAGAATGCAATCTAAAACAACCTCAGACTCATTGTCTGCTAACTGTTCGAGACAGTTGTCCCCTGAAAAGGCCACATTTAATATGGGTGAAATAGGAAATTTGTGGAATTATTGGGCCCTAGTGGCCACCGTGTCCTGTTTGGCCGAGGCATCAGGGAAGAATCGCGGTTCATTTGGCCTTAATTTCAGTGTAGTCGCTGCCATCACCATCAGCCCTCCTGAAGCCTCCCTCCCGGTGTCGTCCATGGAGAAACTCTAGGGCGGCGTAATTCAGCTCTTGCCTCTCCATGCCTGCCATCGGGCCAACAGATTGGTAATCACTGTCGTCTCCCTGTAAAAATAATTTTGGGAAATATTTAAGCACAATATTTGGAGGCAGAGCAGGAAAACCTTGGTCATGTCAAAATAAAAGTCCTTAACAAGACACTCAAAAGCACTGTTAGCAATTAGCCGCTAAACAGAATGAGGTAGCCAGCGCATGAATTATTAGCTTCCAGGCAGCAGTGAACAGCATTGTTAAAACAGAAATAAATCGAAATAATTTTTGTAGTAACTGAATTTTTTTCTCAAAATATTTTGCTTTTATTGTTGTCTAGTGCTTGTTTATTTCACCTCCTCCCATTTGTTTACATGCTCATCTTAAATTTCAGCCTTACCGTGCCTTCCTCTAGGATGGAGTTAAACTTTGAGCCCAGGAGCTCAGTCTTAAGCTATGTTAGGGGAAGAAAAAGAGACAGAGAATGCATAGAAAGCAATGAAAGAGGAGAGAATAGAGGTCAGGAAATGCTCTAAGCATAGGCATACACTGGAACTCTCAGTTGTGACGTACCATCCACACTTGGCTTTGTGACAGTGCCTATATTCAAAATAGCATATACAATTTGCAATATGCAATTTGTTTTTCCATAGACTATGCAGATGACCTAGTATAATACATTTAATACATACAACAGAGCACACTGTATCCTACAATGCAAAAGTTTCACTTCTAGTGTAACTATTAAAGTGGAGGTTTTCAGCCATCTCTTTATTAATTAATGGTTTGATTTGACTTCCAAGACATTTATCGACAAAATTTGTTAAAGAATTGAAAATAACTTCTCATTTACAGGATGATAATTGGATATTACCCGCATGGAACATGATGAGGTCATGTCACAACAATGTAGCATAAAGTTGAGAAATAGTGCCTCTCTTGCACTAGCAATTTTTTTTTAAATAGTAGCATAAAGTGTATAATGTGCAATATTAAGTGAGTAGTGAGCTAGCATACCGTTCTGATCATAGCAGATGTCAGGTCTGTAAACTGAATGGTTTCCCTCTTTAAAGTGATAGTTCACCCAAAAATGAAAATTCTGTCATTAATTACTGACCCTCATGTCTTTCCAAACCCTTAAGACTTTCGTTCATCTTCAGAACACAAATTAAGATTTTTTTAATTAAATCCGAGAGCTCTCAGACCCTCCATAGACAGCAACACAACTGCAATGTTCCGAGGTCCAGAAAAGTATTCTCGTAGCTTCGTAAAATTACGGTTGAACCCCTGATGTCACATGGACTATTTTACCAATGTCCTTGCTGTTTCTGGACCTGGGAACATTACAGTTGTGTTGCTGTCTATGCAGGGTCTGAGAGCTCTTGGATTTCATCAAAAACACCTTAATTTGTGTTCTGAAGACGAACGAAGGTCTTACGGGTTTGGAACGACATGAGGGTGTGTAATTAATGACAGAATTTTCATTTTTGGGTGAACTATCCCTTTAAATCATTATCTAAAAATTCAGTACAGAGTATGTAGGAATAATATATGGGCAATTCTTTTTAATATGTGGTTCCTGATTGTTTTAATGCTAAGGCTAAGTGTGGAAAGCTAATTACAACTAGAGAAGAGCCAGTATATAATATAATTTGCCACAAATATGCATGAAAAAGACCATATAATGTTGATTATTTTATTATACGTTGTGCACGCTTTTATTTTGTATTATCACTGTGTGTGCAAGTACTGTATACTGTGTAGGTGATTTATTCATTATTGTAATAATATCTCACCACTTTTTTCCTGAGACTCTGTTTGTCCTTCTTGACTGCGCTGTAGAACATTGAGGGATTCTCCACTTTAGATCCCACGTCCTGCCCAGGGTTACCATTCTCTCTGGGGGGTGGAGTCAGAGAATCAGACTCTGTCTCACACTCAACCATACCGTAAACTAACTGGCTTGCGGCAACACTTTAAAGGGATAGTTGATCCAAAAATCAAACTTCTGTCATTTTTTACTCATCCTCATGACATTGCAAACCTGTATGACTGACTTTCTTCAGTGGAACACAAACCAAGACATTTTGCAGAATGTTTTAGCTGCTCTTTTCCATACAATTCTTTGAGTCTGAGCTGCTCTTTTTGTCTCAATGAATGGAGACTGGGGTCGACCTTCAAAAAATTATAAGCTTCAATCGGTTTCAATGATCATTGGTCACAAAACATGAAAAACCAATGAATATCTTTGTGCATTATTTTTTATTTACATTTTTTGTGAACATTTTTATGTAATATCTTTTTATCTCGTTCAGTGGTTGACAGATTTTGTATGGAAAAGAACTGCTTGGACATTCAGCAAAATATTTTTGCTTGTGTTCCTTCAGAAGAAAGAAAACCATATGGTGAGTAAAAGAGAGAATTTAAATGTTTAGGTCAACTATTCCTTTAAGCCTGGGCATCCATTTTAACACAAGGGAATCATTGCAACCCCTTAAATAAAACTGGCATTGTGCCACAGTGTCAGGTTTGGGAGTGTTTCGTTTTGATTTCCAATGGGATGTTTTATTTTTTCTTGCAAAATGAGATAGGTGTTTGCTGCAGAGCTCAATGGTTTTGAGGCTGAAAAGCAATGGCATGGGGCAATTGAACCTGCAATAGATTTGTTAGTCTGCAGTTTCATGCACAATGTGGCATGTTTACCATTGTACCAAGCAATCAAATTGGATCATCTGTGAGTGGGTTATGGCTTGAAAACCAAATGCCAAAAAAAACAAAAAAACAAAACTGAACATGGATGACTAGGCTTGGGTGTTTTGATACCTACAAACCCCAGTCCCAACCCACGAACTCCACCTGAATGTTCTTCTCCCAGTCTTTCTGGTGAAGGATACTCACTTTTTATTATTCTGACCCACGTATCTCACAGCTGCGATGATGAAGGCGATGACTGCCACACCTCCGATAGTCCCCACTATGACGGCCATCATGAACTTTTCTGAAAGAGTGTGTAGAGTTCATTGATGATACATCAAAATCGCATTAACAGTTGCACATGTGGTTTCATTAAAGGTCTACTTACTCTCCTGCTGCAGTTCCAAGCGGATGGTCTCGGAGCCGTACATGTTGCTGAAGCTGCAGTGAACATGGACAGCAGTATCACCATTGTTCCCCCTTTCACCCTTGTCCTGGAGCTTGATGATGCCAGTGGACGTGTACCCATCTGAGTATGTGCGGTAGTTAAACAGGCTGTTGGAGTCGTTGATGGTGATGTTGAGGTCAGGCAGGTAGAATTCAATAACAGGTTCAGGGTTTCCCGATGCAATGCACACACACTGAACGCCCTCACGGACTATAGTGCACTTAGAGTCGTCAAGGAGGACGGGGGCAACTGGGAAAATTGAGCAGAAATAGTCAAAAAGCATATCTATGAATGTTGTCACACTACTACAACTCAAATCAGTCGCATGAGACTCTAATCCATCTCATGTCCAAGACCATTTTTTGAGGAGCATTTGGACCTGGACTTGGTCATAGAAAATAAGGTCTTGGACATTAGACGGACTTACGTCCCTTGAGTACTGCAACAATGAGTACATTTACATGGACAACAATAATCTGATTTTAACACGATTAAGATTAAAGTCATATTCGAAGTAAACACAAATTGAATTAAGACATGTGGAGTATTCCTATTTTAGTCGCATTACTGAAGTGCAGTATAGACATGTAAACACCTTAATCACATTATTACCGTCGTGTAGGACTTTTCGCCATTTTTTGCGACAGGATACACACACGGCAGTGGTCAACCGTTTGACGGCAAATAAAACAGCTTCAACTCTGCCATCGTCTGTATGCACGTACAAATAATTAACTGCACTTGAAGCTTTCATAAATTAAAAATGAAACCTAAAACTGTACATGGCATCATCACGAAGACGAACTATATGTTTATATGTGAAATTCTGGAGGGGACGTCGGATGGCGTCACGTGGGGACATAATGACGTGTGCCATTAATCGAACTATGTATTATAACATGTAGAACGGGAACATGAAAGGAATATTCTAAAAGCAACTCATGTAAACACCATAATCATAATATTGGCTTATTTAGAATAAGGTAAATAATTAGATTACTGATGTCCATGTAAACGTAGTAACTGGCATCTCTAACTTCAACTATTCTATATTCATCTATGCCAGAGGTGTCAAATTCAGTTCCTGGATGGCCACTGTCCTGCAGAGTTTAACGCCAACCCTAATTAAACACACCTGAACCAGCTAATCAAGATCTTCAAGATTACTAGAAACTTCCAGGCAGGTGTTTTGGAGCTACACTCTGCAGGACAGTGGCCCAGAGTTTGACAAATGTGATCTGTGCTCATCTTGCCAACTTAAAGGGATAGTTCACCCCAAAATGAAAATTCTGTCATTAATTACTCACCCTCATGTAGTTCCAAACCCGTAAGACATTCATTCATCTTCATAACACAATTTAAGATATTTTTGGATGAAATCTGAGAGCTTTCTGACCCTGCATAGACAGCAAGGGTACTACCATGTTCAAGGCCCAGAAAGGTAGTAAGGACATTGTTAAAATCATCCATGTGATATTAGTGGTTCAACCTTAATTTTATAAAGCTACAAGAATAGTTTTTGCTCGCAAAGAAAACAAAAATAACAAATTAATTCAACAATTTCTTCTCTTCCATGTCAGTCTTTGACGTGCATTCACGAGAGTAAAATGACGCATGCCTGTGGTGCTGAATGAAGTTATTTTTGTTTTCTTTGCACACAAAATTTATTTTCGTAGCTTCATAAAATTAAAGTTGAACCTCAGATATCACATGGACTATTTATCAATGTCCTTACTACCTTTCTGGGCCTTGAACGTGGTAGTTGCGCAGCTGTCTATGCAGGGTCAGAAAGCTCTCGGATTTCATCAAAAAGATCTTAATTTGTGTTATTAAGATGAACGAAGGTTATCTTCGTAGCTTACGGGTTTGGAACAACTTGAGGGTGAGTAATTGCAAGTAATGACAAAATTTTAATTTTGGGGTAAACTATCCCTTTAAGGCTTCACACAGGTTGAACACAAGCCAAAACCAACTTTTCTTTGGAGAAAACTTTTCCATTTACTGTCCCTAAGCATAATCACAGCCTACTGGCTCAGTTTCTCAACTGGTCAGTCTTTTCCAGTGACTTACATTCTACCGTAATGTTAAGTGAGTTGCTGGCCCGTCCGTGTTCATTCTCAGCTAGACAGCGGTAGACTCCGTGAGCCTGCGGCGTGATCTCGGGCAGCTCAAGCACGGATCCCTCATCTGCTGTGATGGTACCCACCAGTTCCCCATCCTTCAGCCAGGTCAACGTGGGCATTGGGTTTCCTTTGCTGTTGCACTGTAGGGAAATTGAAGATCCTTCCAACAACGTTAGAGATTCATTGATCCATGGCTCCCGTGGAGGATCTTCCATTTTGAGAGGAAATAAAGAAGAATGAGGAAATGAAGAATGTTCAGATGGATAATGGAATACTAGCATATCGCTTATGCGTATTTACATGCGTAAACATTTTTTTTGCAAAAACTATAGCCAATGGCTGCTTCCAAAAACACCCCATTCCCTAAAGTATAGCTTACAGTAGCGTTAAATGGTTAATATTGCAATACACAAGAGTGCATGAACTTTTACTTACAATTTACTGCCAGATACATGGATGTGTTCATGCTGCCATAGCCATTGTCACCAACGCAGGTATAGACACCTTCCTCCTCCGGGGTCAGGTTATCCAGAGGCAGCGAAGAGTTTGAGGCAACTTCTGACATCAGCTCTTTGTCTCCAAAATACCAGGTTATTGTGGGGGCTGGATTACTGTCCACATCACAGTGCAGGACCACCGAGCTTCCCTCCATTACCTCTTGAGACACATTTACCCACACAGTTCGAGGGGCGTCTACAGATAAGAGGATAAGTCAGTACATATTGTCTCTGTGATTAACATGCAGTCATAAAATAGTGATTTGGTGGAACTCACACTTGATGTCCAGTGAAATGAGGCGTTCATAAAAAAAGGTGGTGTTTTCGAAATGAACCCGGCAGCCCAGCAGCTGGCCATTGTGCATGGGTTTGGGTGTGAAGGTGAGGGTGCTGGACAGTACCGCGGTGTTGCTTTCCTCAACATTGTCAGGGGTGAAAACAGGGTCAGGCAGGTAGTCTGTGTACATCCAGTGGATCTGTGGACTCATGTCTGGACAATTGTCTGGGACATAACAGGTCAAGTCCAGGCTTTGGTCACTAACGATCTCCTCTGGAACATCGATGTTGGGCTGATCTAGAGGGGGAAGAGATATTTAAAGTCAATATTAAGTAAAAACAGACAATTTTTTCCATTTTAATATGCATTTTTGGTTTTAATGTGCATTTTTCATCAAGCAAAATAGCCATTTATTCATTGTTTTAACAAATTTGCATTCCGGTCTGGCTCCATTCTTTTACAGAACACCTCCTTTCCACAATCCAAAGTCCCGCCCTACATATTAAATATGCTGTTTGATCCAGAAATACATCTTACTATGAAAGTAAATTGATTGTGGTTGAAATGTTGACTTCAAATGCGTTTCATGTTGACTTCAAATGCTAGACCAACAATGTTTTAGTAACCACACTGCAAAGATTTATATTCTTATTCTTATTCATTTACCCACCCTCAAGCCGTTCTAAACCTTTACGAATTTCTTTCTTGTGTGGAACACAATTTTTCACATTATCTTCTTTTAAGTTCCACAGATGAAAGAAAATCATACAGTTTTAGAATAAGGTGAGGGTATGTAAGTAAATGATGACAACATTTTAATTTTTGTTTGGATTTTAAATATTATTACTTGGAGACACATCAAAAACGAATAATTAAAAAATGGCCTTACCCAACACCTGTAGTTTTGTGAAGTCAGGGTAAGTGTAGATGTTTGCGCCACCCAGGTCTGCCCTGAAGTAATACTTCCCAGAATGTTCCACACCAACATTATTTATTAGCAGAGTGCAGTTTTTTTGCGTCAAGTCACCAAGGAGCTTGGTCCGTCCCTTGTAACTTTCATGAACAATATCTGTGCGTGACTTATACACCACTGGGGGGAAAAGCTGGGGGTAGGGGTGGCCGAAATACCAGATCCCGTGGACCCCTCTGTAAGGCCTGATGCCGGAGGGGTATGTGAATGAACAGGGTATAACCACACAGGAGTTTGTCATGGCTGAAATGTCTTTGGGCATCCACACATTCCACTGAGCACTTACATCTGTTCAGAGAAAGCGAGAAGAGCGCAGGTAATTTAGTTAATAAAATAACACCATTGTATTACCATGTCTCTTGGATGTGTACTATAGTGATACCATGTTTTTGAACATGTACCATAGTGTCTCAGCAGCATTAACCAAAGGAACCATAGAAACAGCATGTTCGATTCAGAAGAAGTTGTTACCTTTCAGAATAAGCAGCAGAGGCAACAGCAGCAGCTCCAAGCCCTTCATGGTCTGTTTAACTCTGGACCATAGACCTCTGTTACAAAACCAGCACATGCATCAGCAAGACAAACAGACTCTACTAACACAATTGCACTTGTTGTTCTCTTGCTCTCTTAAGAGATGGGGAGAAAAGGAGTGACGGTTCAGGATATGACATGAGCCTTGTGTAAAATTTGTTTTGCCTGTATATATAAGTTTTGTTGTGCAGTGTATTTTTTAACACAAAGTTCACATGATTTAACTTGTTTTGGACATATTTCACCTCAGAATTATGAGGAAAATTTTTTAAATTAATTTTTATTTTATTATACATTTTTTTTAAGAAAATTTAGGACTAAAATTATAAATAATCATTGTACTTCCTTAAAATGTGTGCTTATTTAAATCAATAAAATGTTAATTTCTTTCTATATTGTAGTAATGAGAAACAACTTTAAGAATAATAAAAAAAAAACAGTTTTGTTGTGCAGTGTATTTTTTAACACAAAGTTCACATGATTTAACTTGTTTTGGACATATTTCACCTCAGAATTATGAGGAACATTTTTTAAATTAATTTTTATTTTATTATACATTTTTTTAAAGAAAATTTAGGACTAAAATTATAAATAATCATTGTACTTCCTTAAAATGTGTGCTTATTTAAATCAATAAAATGTTAATTTCTTTCTATATTGTAGTAATGAGAAACAACTTTAAGAATAATAAAAAAAAAACGCAAATATGCAGATGCACAAATGCAGAATTACAATAATGAGAATAAAAAAAAAACAACAATAATGGTAAAACAACTGTTTAGGCAAAATATATATTTTTTTATTTTATTTTAGGGTGAAATGTGACCTGGACATGTTTCTGAAGGATTCACCCTATTCTATGACATAAATATTAGAAAATAGAGGTGCAGCTGGGTTAATGGATTAATGACAAAATAATTGTTACAGAAGTCGAGTACTGTAAGCCGCCCCTTGTGTTGTGATCGTCAGAATTATGCAAACTGGTTTCATTTAGTACTCCATAATATGGTTCATTAAGAGAGAGAGAGCTCTAAATAAATCCTATATCTTACATCTATATCTTTTGATAAATATCTTATGCTGCTTCTCATATATACTATGAATTATCTAATAGTTTTGGACACTTCTAAAATGTCTATTTGTATTTGTTTTAGGCAATACCTTGAAATGCTGGCAGAGTGTGCTGAACCACAACCAACTTTAATTCCCTCTCCAACGGTGAACAAGCCGCTGCCGTTCTTCCCTCACAAACAAGGGGGCGTTCTCTCACAGCACATCAACTCAGCTTCTCTTCTGATTTGTCTTAAAACAACAGCAAAGAAATTACATCAGTATCAAGAAGCAACATTAGCTCTCTTAACCCACACAGACACACTTTCTCTGACAGACTGACGCACACCGTACAGGGCCGCAGTGTGTGGGAGAGGAGAATTGCTCGCTATGAGCGTACGACGTCAACCCTTGCGTGTTTGGCGCGCATACAGAAAGCACTGTTCATGATATGACACATCATCCATAGCACATTCATCCACGCTCACACAGCGTCACCCAGCAGCCTCTGTTGACTTTATTCACGCGCTTGTCAGTGGTGTTGTGTGCGCTTTACAAACTCTCCTGAAGACTTCAGAGCAGACGGGGACTACAGATGGTGGCTGATAAATGGATTGTTCTTGAAATCTCCAAGATTATTATATTAGAAATATTCCCCTGATAGCTCACAAGTTTGACGCAGTTGTTGAACCAATTAAATTTACGAGATGACAGAGGACTGTTAATCCAACTTTTATAGGTAGGCTACATGTCTTAATATATAAAAACAGTCAAGATTGCCCCCCCCCCCCCACACAACTCTAGTTTAAATTTACAGTATTTTTCAGTGGTAGTTATTAATTATTTTAATCAAATAATAATTCTATGTGGTGGAAAACACGCCTTCTTATTTATTAGCTATGTGTAAAATATATTATTTCCGTAGCCCTACTATTACAGCAATGTACCACATACATTGTTGACGGCAAGTTATGACCAGATTTATGTCACCTTATAAATACATTCTGTTATCATTTTCACACCCTCATGTTAAAAATAAATAAATAGAATCAATGCAATGTTTGGACCCCATTGACTTTCATTACATGGACAAAAACAGACAAATTATTCTTTAAAATGTCTTTTTCTTTTCTTTTTTTTCACAGGAATGAAAAATGGGGGTGAATAAATAATGACAAAATGTTCATATACATAATGTTCGTAAACAACTCTAATTTATTTACCACAATGCAAGCAGTTCATTAAAAGTAAATGAATTCATAATAGGCCTGAATAATGTTCAAGACTAGTCACCATAATGGTGATTTAAAACAAAAACAACTACTTACAATTATTATCCCAATATCTAATGCAATATGATTTTTACAGCATTTTTTGTTATGACAGAAACAAATAGAGTAAAACAATAATCTGCAATAAAAATGGTCTTACAACCAGACTTCATATTCTGCATGTAAAATACCGGTATATTGTTGTTGTTTTTTTCAGAAATGTTTCATACACAAAAAAACCCCCACAGTATTTTCTTATAATGACTTTTGAATGCTATCAATCCTGGCAATATTTTACAGTGCATATTGCAATAATTGAAGCCTTCCGGAAATGGCTCATTAAACAAACATCCCAAGCAGCCTTTTTATTCTTGTTAATCATAACCGAATAATTATAATGACACCAGCTGTTCCAGACAAACAGAACTAATTTATATGCCCATCACACAAGATCTAAGAGGCAGCAAACTGCTGTTGCTTGGAACTGAAACCCCTGGCAGCACGCGTTAAAATGGATGAAGCAATTCCCAAACCAAACAAACGGACCATTCATGCTCCACAAACAAGCCTTGAACCATCCAGGACACTTGCCTCATACCAGATCCAGATTCCACTCTTGGGCTCTTCTGAAGGGGAAGGACTGGTCTCTCGGCTCCTGGCTCTGGTTCTTCAAAGTCCTCCTGTTATTCGTCCTTCCTCAGAGGTGTGGGAATGGGGGAAAATGACAGAGAGGGAGGGAGACGGAGATAGACAGATAGGGAGAGGAGAGGATGGAGACTTTTAGTTCTAAGCTGGGCAAATGTGTGCCGTGGGCAGCCTTGAATATGCAGACATTTCCCTCAGTGCATTCTTCTTCTCTAGCCCACATTGTACATTCCTCTCCATGACATCTCTCCTTTCTACCCTGGTCAAATCCTCTTGTTCCAGCCTGTCTGGGTAACACTGTTCCTCGTGGTTTTTAGGTATATTTCTGCTAGGGGTCAGATGATACCGTTGTGAATGAGTTTGGACTGGTTTCAGCTCCATGTAGGCTACACTGTATCCTGTAAATCGGCTGGAATTCATCTTCGCATGACTCACCTTGTGAGCTAAATCTGTGAAAAATGTTTTTTTCTCCATTGTGGTTCATTTTAACTCTACATGAAAACATAATGAACCCTATTTATTTCTTAATGCACATTCCTTGTCTTATTGTGAATGATTTATCAGTGCATGTTATTCCAAATTTTAAAAAAATCTGTAAACTTTCATCAAATGTAATGTTTTAGCAAAATCACATTCAGTAAGTCTTTTATTCAGCAAGGACACATTAATCGACCAAAAATGACCAGTAAAAACATAAATAATGTTACAAAAGATTTCTGTTTTCAAATAAATGCTGTTTTGTACTTCTTAAAAAAATATTAGGGAACATAATTGTTTTCAACAAATATAATTTTTTTAAATTTAAAAAACAACAACAAAAAACTATATATATATATATATATAAACTTTGCGACGTGTGCTGCGTTAAGCTAACCAAGACTTGTCATTTGCACATATATTGTTGCTCTTTTGTTAGTTTTGACTGCTTTTATTGTCCTCATTTGTAAGTCGCTTTGGATAAAAGCGTCTGCTAAATCAGTGTTTCCCAACCGGTGTGCCGTCTGTTGAGAGCAGGGGTGCCGTGTAAAAAAATCCTTTTTTAATATTTTTAAATTGCTAAAATGTTCAAAAAAGCATCTATTATATAATATTCATTTCTGATGTCAGAAAAAATGATAATTAGAGATGCACCGAAGTTTCGGCTGCCGAAAATTAGTTCACCGCTCAGGTTTCACTTTCACGTGGTGTGACGCTCTGTGTATTATCCCGCTCTATGCGTGTGCGCTCCGCTCAGTCGCTCCATTCGTATACCGTTCATGCTCATCGGAACAGCAAAGTCCGCTCAAAAATTGAGCCGACAGG